GCTGCATCTGCGTCGGAGGAAATGAAACGCAGCAAGTCAGTGTTGCAGAAAACAAAAACTTTACAAGAAAGTGAGAGAGGTGAGGATGGGAGTAACCAAGCTTCGGGAACGACCCAGCCTTCACAGCAAGAATCATCTGCACCTTCATTTTTTAAGAGCCTGTTAAACATTGGCCAGAGCAAAGATGAATTACAGCAGCCTAAAAAGGATGAAATGGCAGAAAATTCAAATTCTCCTTTTCAAGAAGAAAAATCTGTTTTTGGCACAATAAAAAATTTCATGAGCCTTGAAAGCAAAGAAACAGCAAAGCCTTCCGTGGAGACGGCGAAGGAAAATGTAGTCGAGTCGATAAGCTCAGATCAGAACCAAGGTATTTTTGGATTTACGCTATTCAGTAGGCCTTCAAACAAAGGGAGCCTTCTACCTAAAAGCCTCAGCGGACTTTTGCCATTTGGCCAAGATAACGCAAACCGAAACACTCCCGAAAATCAGGCAGTGTCACAGCAAGCAACACTTGGACCGCGCAGTTCGTCATCTATGGCAAATACAACCGGATTGAAGAAGGCCGCTTCCGTTCCCGTATCGATGCACATGGGCCATTCAGAAAGTACCATTCATTTGATTGATAAGCTTGATTCAACGACAAGTCTTTCACCAAAACCGCAGTCAAGTGAACCGAGAGGCAGGCTTCAGAGACAAAAGACATGTGATGCGTCAAAGCAAGAGACTCCAGAAGAGCGCAGCGTTTTAACTAAGACTGTTGAAGAACATTTTCGGTTCAGTGATCTAACCAGATCAATTTCAAAAGATGACGCGATGAAGCAAAATGAAAAGGATACGTCTAAAATTGTTGATATCAAACCAGTGCATCAAGATGCCTTGGCTCGACCTCTTCATACAACTGGACCAACACTGGATACAGTTTCTTTGGAAACGTCTTCAAGTACTCAGGAAGATAATGAAATAAAGCAGCCAATAAGGTCTACGAGTGTGTTTGGTTTTTTCTCAAAACCCACTAGCAAAGAACTTCCCCAAAGCACAACGACACGACTTTCTCAAAGCCTGACCAGTTTATTTTCATCTAACGCTCAAAACGCCTCAAGCAATCAACATCAGGAAACTGTTGAGAAGTTAAAATTTCAAAACGTCTCGCATGAAACACCATCACAAAATGAAAAAACTTCATCTAAACAAACCGAGGATAAGGGCTTTTTTGGGTTTCTGTCTGGTGCAGCCAATAATCAGCCACCAGTGACTCCACAAACAAAATCTTTCTCTTTGCTCTCCTTTGCTTCATCGGGAGACAAAACAGAAAGTGAGAAATCTGATGGTTCTGGAACTTTTAAGATACCCTTCTTCTCGAGCCCTACCACCAACCAACAGTCGTCTTCCACAGAAAATAAATTCTCCACTTCAATGTTTTCAATTGGTTCATCTGAAACCAAAACAAATACCCAGAAACCAGAGGGTTTTGGTGGATCTTTGAAGATTTCATCCTTCTTTTCAAAGTCCAATTCTGAAGCGGAGAAAAAGAAAGATCCTGCAGATGGAAAATATAACATGAAGTCGTTCAGTATGTTTGGATTTAGCCTTGGTGAAGAAAAACAACCATCTGGCAAAGCAGAAGCAATTCCTGTACACAAGAGTGAAACAAATTACAGCTTTCCAATTCATGAAGTGTCTTCAGCCAATACATCTATACCCTTTACCAAGAAGACAGACAAGATAGAAGAAGATGTTTTACCACAGCAGTCAGATCTTCACAAACATGAATTGCTGGACTTTGAAGAAAGTAAGGATAATAGGTTAAATGATACCCAGTTAGAAGAAATCATACCAGACAAGGAGAGCGAACTAAATGTCGACCATTTAGAAATCGTCACACCACAAGAGTATGTTGCTGCACGTGAAGACAGCATGTTAACGGACGTCGATGTGGATGATAATTTTGATCAAGTAGATGATCAAGCATTGTTGAATAGCGAAACTCCAGGTTGTTCTTATGATGAAAATGTTGATGCTGATGTAGATGTTGACCAGACCTTGATGAATGACTTTCCTGATGAACACATTTCTTCTTTGCAAAGTCACGGTGATGAAGAGAATAGCGAGCAGCTGTTTAGAGAATCTTCCTACGATGGTAACGGCAGTGAAAAAGACTACAATAATGCCTATGAGGATTATTATGAAGAAGGGGATGCTTATATTATTGAACAGAAGACAGAAATGTCACAAGAATCTATTGATGAACAAATACAATTGGGAAACCAATGTGAAAATTATGAATTGGCAGATGCCCAAGACAAGTTGGATTTAGGTGAACACATTCAAGAAGACCAACAGTACCTTGAGGATAAACCTTGCGATGATTCCCACATTACTGCGAATGATGTTTTAATTGAAAATTTCGCAGCTGCAGAAAACCACCAAACTGCACAAGAAAAGTCCTTTGCTAGTAGTTCTGTTGATACGTTCACTGGTTTCATGTCAAAAATGAAAACCATGACTTCACCTCAAGCTGAAAGTTCAAAAACTATTCAAGACCAGCAAGCCACGCAAGAAAAGTCCTTTGCAAGTAGCTCCGGTGATTCATTCATCGGGTTCATGTCAAAAATGAAAACTATGACCTCGGCACAAGCTGATCCGAGTGCAAATACAAGCTTTGGGTCATCTTTCTCTTTTGGGTCGTTGTCTTCCGTTAAGATTCCACTGCCTAAACCGGAAAGCGCGAGGGGATTTAACATTCCATTTAAAGACATGTTTGATAGTAAACCATTGCCGCAAATGTCTACGGGAGGATTATTTAAAATGTTTGCCTCACCGGGTACAGACGTGAATGCTCCCGAAAATAATGAAGCGAAATGTACGAGCGCTGCTCCGGCTCATTCTGAGGTGAATGTCACTGAAAGTCTAACACCGGCCTTGGATCAGGCTTCAAGGGCAGAGCTTTTGTCTGATGAATTGCAGCCATATGTATGCTCGGAGAGTTCACTGCCATCTAATGAACAAAGTTGGGAGAGAGGTGAAGATAACGTCGACAGTGACCCTCATCATCCTGATCAGAGTGAAGCAAAAGAACAGCTGATTGCAGATGATGAATCCCCGTTTGTAGCCACCGACGAAAATGTGCAGAAAATGGACGCGCATGTGGTTGACGTCGATGGTGAATTTGGTACGGACGAGTCCATTACGGAGGTTCCAATCATTACAATCACACAAGAGGAAAGTCAGGAAGCAGGTGATGCTTATGAAGAGCAAAGTGTTGTAAAGTCTGTTGGTAATGAAATCGAGTTGAGTACCTTGGAAGATGACAGCCTTTCCATCGAAGAAAAGGCTCCAACTTTGGACGTTGACACACCTGTGAGAGAATTGCCACCTTCTGTAGAATTGACTGACCAGCAGAAAACAAGTATAGCTTCTACTGCTTTGCCAAATTCCCATGAGTCCACTTTAAAGACCGAGAGTGAAGCAGTGCCTGCCCAAGACGAGGGGTTTATGGGGAAATTTAAGCGTCCATTTTTTAGTCTCTATGATAAAAATGCATCTCTAGTGGGAAGAATGGTCCAGACAACTAAGGAAGAGAGTGGCATGTTTAGCAAATTCAAGCTTCCTTTTGCGAGCGAACAACAAAGTAAAGATATCGAGCGCACGTCCCAGGAAATTCGAGCAGCTAGAGAGGACGATGACCGCACTGGACCCACGAAGCTTCCATGCACTGAAACTTCAGCTAGCGAGATTATTAACTCGGAATCCGAAAATGCAAAAGGAGGTGATCTGGCAGAACCTGTAACTAGCCCGGCAAGTTCTGTTGAGGCCAGCAACAATGTAAATATCCCGGACAATATTTCTGAGCATTCTCACTCTGTGTTGGGTGACGAGCAGGTCATGGAGATCCATGTGGCTGCTTCGGCGACAGATAATGTTATACAGACAGAAGTCGACACTGAACTTAGTGTAGATGCTGTTGGTGAAAACCCACCAGAGGGAAATGAAAAATGCACTTTCTCAGAGGTTTCCAGAGGGGAGGTTATTGGAGAGTCAGACCTTGTAAGTTCCTTGAAGGAGCCTGCAATAAATGTGCCGGCGTGTGATGAGGAACTGAAGACAGACACAGGGACCGTGGCAACCATGGACCTGCTGCGTGTGGAAAGGCCAGTAGAAAATCCAGCATGATAAATGGTTTTCACCATTTATTTAGTGTCTCCTTAGCACACTGTGTTTGTAGATGTTCGATTTGAAACCTTTCCTACACTTTGAAATGTGAATGCTTAGCTGGCTTTTCCCTTCTGGCTTTTAATGTGTGTTTATTGTACTGATTGCGAATGGCTTTTGTTGTTTTTTTGTAATTCTGGTATTTATAGAATAATTTGCATGCATTGTATGATTGTCAAATGTGTCACTCCAAATGACATTCTTTACATGTATATTCATATTTTTTCATTGTCATCTATATTTTGAATATAGGCTACTTACTATATCTAACGTTAAACCGTAAAAATGTACAGTTATAAAACAATATAAAATGTTGATAACAATTGGGTAATTTTCAGGATGAATTAAGCGAGTGATGTGTATGAAAAATAAATGTATAAATTGGTAAATAAATAATACTTTTTAATATATACATATGATTAGATCATCACACGTGTTTTTGTATCGAACCAAAACAAATATGCAATACTGCGTTAGTCGTGCACAAGCACAAATAACAAAACCACTTGGCCGCATTTTTCAATAACGCTTCCCTAAAAAAAGGAAAATAAAACCGTTGGGCGATGTTTCGAGACCGCGTGACGTTTTAGGGTAATGCTCTCCGCTATGAGGAACCTCCATTGCCCTCAACGTCACCTGTCGTACAATTCGTCCTCTTTCAGGGCAGCGTTATTGACGGACGTGTTTTAAGGTGCGCTCGTGTGTATTCGTGCACAGAAGTGTTACGGCGACTATGGTTCTGCGGCAGCATGTAAGATGTGTTGCTGTGTGCACGCGGGCTCTTGCAGCCCTGGTGGCAGCCGAAGCTACGGCTCTTCGGCAAACCTGAGCCAGGCGAGTTCCGAGCAGCTGAGCGAGCTGGATCAGGATGAGCTGGAGGAGGACGAGGCTGGGCTCGACTGCCACTCGTTCCGCAGCTCCAGCAGCTTCCCGCGGGGCACTTCCGCTTACCGCAAGGTGCTGTCACGAAGCTCCTCCGTAACTAACCACCACCTGTCCACACATTCTCCTGTCCCGCTTCGTTACAGCCGCCATAACCTTCAACCTTTGCTGCTCTGTTCTATTCTCTCGTATGGCAGGGCGATTCGTAACTTTTCGTGTTGAAACCACCATAACCTTTCCTCGTGCATGCATAATGCATGCCGACCAAAGGTTGCCTTCCTCCCACATTTCGCGTGGGTGATAGTAAGCTCGCCTGTGATGAAACCACCTGGGATCTGCCCGATCTGTTTACATGACTAAACCGTACGAATTGACTGCGTCGGTTGGCGGCAGATTTAACAACACATTTATATTCACGCGATCTTACCCAAAAAAAAACCTTCATTACGGACAATATTGGTCGCGAAAGCATAGTACTACTACGTGTGAAACTGACCATTGGCACGATGCCCACCGTATTCACCGCTTCCGCACACCGGGGTAGGACATAAAAATGCAAGGCTCCGGCGTGCGCGTTTTGTGTTGCGCCCAGGTGCTCACCGAGCAGGACTCGCGGGGTGCGTACAGCGACCGAGAGGAGTACCACCACCAGCGGGGTGGGGAGTATCACGGCTCCGACGACACGCAGCCCATCAGTGAGGAGGCCACTTCGCCCGGGACCCTCCGCCACGAAGCCAAGCCGGAGGCCCGCGAGGCTCTCCACAATGACGAGGGCCTGCCGAACATCGTTCGGCCCACCGACAGGTGAGAGTGTGCGCGGGAGTGTCCCACGCTCGCTATTTTATCAGGTGAGGCTCACTGAGCTGCTATGTAGCTTTTTTTCAGAAGCAACTTGGCCACAAACGATAGCTCAACGAAGTGGCTGATATTGCAGCGAGATACTCTAAACGCATGTTGATTCCAAATTTGGAGGGAAAAATTGGAAAACCCAGAGAAAAATCCACGGGGAGAACACGTAAAGTGCAGATATTTAGGCGTGAGGGTCGGGATCAAACCCACGACCTCCTTTAAACCAGGCGAGGTAGTTAACATTTCGCCGCCACTTACCTGGAACCACTTAATAGCATTATATGATCGATAATTATGGTAACATTGAATTACGCTCATCTGGAAATGGATGTCAACAGTGCATGATTTCAGCCGGAACTTTCAATGGCTTGGCTCCGAAAAAATACTACCCCCATCCCAATTACACCACTCCCACCCCCTCCCTGCCTGGGAGGGTTGGGTTTGGACAGTTGGTGGTTTGGGGTTGGGGGGGTGGCACCTCGTAAAATATTCCGTGGGAAATAAAACCCTGGATGTTAAATTTCTACAAATGACACCATTGTTTTGAGACAATTTCTTTAGGCTTATATGTTGTTTTATACAAACTCCTGGACGCACGGCCCTTTTGAATGAATGAAGCATGCCCTTGTGCGGATGTGCCTGTGTATCACGCCGCACAAGGGCACGTGCTGATCGGCAGGGCTTTGTTCACTCTGCAGGTTCGTGTCCGACGAGGGGCCAAGCCCCTTCACCCCGGCGCGCGCGCGCTGGATACGTGCCATCCACAAGGTCCAGATGCAGATCCGCGAGGTAGGGAAACGGTCGGCGTGGTAACGGTTACTTCCCTATCTCCTCCTAGCAACAGTATCCGTTGCCGTGCGCGTACTGCTGGTGCGGTTGCCAAGGCGAAATCCGCGCTTGTGTCTGCACAAGAAGCTCGGAATGCCTCTTCATGCACCGAGGACCAATTTTAAAACCAATCGCACATTTTGGAGTAACCTGCGAGGGCAGCACTTCCACATTGCTCAAGGGGCGCTGTGCGCACAGTTTGCACAAAATAAAAGGTCGCATCATCTGTTGTACATGGGAGTTTCATTTTGGCCCCCTCCCCCCCCATTTCTCCCTCACATCTTCACGCACGAAGATCAACCTGACCTCTAAAAACTCTTTCTAAGTTTGCCTTCTGGAGTTGCCTGTGACAACGGTGCAGCCTATTGCACCCGAGGGCGTTTTTAAGTGGATGTCCATCGAGTGAGCTCGTGTACCCATTCGACGTCACCCCGGCGTTTTTTTTCTTTCTAATGAGCCCCTCACACTGTCATGTAATCACAGATTAGAGGCTGACAAGATTCATAAACGGCTATCTTCACAATGTTCGCTTCACTTGCAAAATGCTTTGTTCAAACGGAGTCCTTTATATGCATTTGCAAACACATTTCAAAATGCTGAGGAATAAGCGTATAGCCCCGCTTTGATACTGCACACTTACCCGTTTGTTACTTGTCACTTTGGTATTGGTGATCGTATGGCGTAAGTACTGTGGGAGAATTTGCGGTAATTATGCTTAAAAGGTGGGTAAACCAAGATGTGCCATTTGCCTGTTTCCGAATCCATTATATTTCACAGCATGATTTTTTTCTAGCTCTCAATCAGCCTGGACCAGGTCTTGAAACGGATCCTTGTGAGTGTGGAAATTAGTGCGTTGCACAGAGCTGTCCTGATCTCTTCCATTCTCTTATCACTTATTGCCACTGCGCTCCGATGCATTGTCCAATTGTGTGCAGTTCTGTGTTTTATTTATCCGCTTTGTAGAATGCTATAGCTTGCCTTTGCTGTTAAATAGTATGCAGTACCTTGTTATACTGTTGTGCATTGTAATGCTCTCTGAAATTCTACTCTTGGATGCTTGAGAAAATGAGATATTTAACTCACAGGGTAGTTCCTGGTTTTTAATGTAAGTTAAAATGGTAAATCATTGTTTATTATTCCATAGCACTGTGGGGTGGGGATAAAGCTTGTTTTAATCATTCTCACAGTGAAATATCCTCCGTCTCTCTCCCACATGACACTCTGTCCCACGTTGTACTATGCTGTATCAACCTGTAGTTTTCGAAATCATCTTAAATGTACGAACACTTTTCAGCCCATTGGCAATCTGCTGTTGGATGAAGGCCTTCCTTGTTGGTCGGAGAGGATGTTTGACCGTACATTGGTTAGCGCCACTGATGTGAGCCGAACTCAGGTAGCCGAGTTGATAGCGCAGTGCGCTAACCCTTGCACCACCATTCCTTCTCTCGTTGTATACATTTTTTATACGCTGTCTTGTGTATTGTCATGATCTACTGGGCTGTGCACGTCATGGCGCTTCGCTGGCTTCTCCTGGCAATGTGCTGAAGGGTGCCACGGTGTGGATTTGCTCTCCTATGAAATGCCTCAATGGTGTGGTGCGTCCACGTCGGACTGGGTTCCCGTGCGCAGCAACGCGTTGCCGTTGGGAGACTGAGCAAGGCTTATGCACCGCCATTTTCAGAATAATCTCTCCACAGCCACTGAAAATGGGTTATACTGCCTACACACGACATTATCCTTCCAGCGCGAATCTTTTAGCATTCATGATTCTCTTTTGCAAGCATACTCTTGTGTACCATATATTTAATTGGAAATCGTAATATATTCTATTTTCTTTGCGAAAAAAATACTTGTATTTGTGGATTAATTTTGTGCAATATACTGAGCGCAGTTCATCATATGCCCATTATATTTTTTAGTATTTTTCAATATGCAGTATTTTTTGTAAATGTAATTTCTACACAAACTGGCGCCGGAGTCTACGTCGCCCGTTATTCTATGTGTGACGGGGACTTTCACGCATTGCTGTTGACGCAGCGTTCTCAAATCAGTAGCAGCAGATGTGTAGCGAATGTTTGTTTACATGTATTCCTGCAAAGGTCTCATCTCATCAGCAATTGTCATGCTGATGCCTATGTTGGTAGTGTTGCTGGATTCAATGGGAGCCTGAGCTGACGTCACCTTTTGTCTCAGTCACGTGGTGCAATTGCACCGTTTGTTTTTCTTGGATTTGTTAAATTCGCATGTTTTGGGTGGGTTTGGAGTCCTTCAATAACGTGTTCACATGTGCGTAGAATGGTGATGCAGGCTGTGCTTCCCACGTCACTTGATAACTGGTGAAATGCAGCCCGATTTTGTTCTAATTTATTATTGTGTTCATGTGAACGTCGAGATGTCTTAACAGCAGTCCGTTACACGCAATGCTGTCGATGCCACCACACTTTGCGACTGCTTCCTTTCTTCTGATACGTTTATTCAGTTGCTGCAAAGTTAGCGTCTGACCTAAATCTGTCGTTACAATATCCCACCATCTGGCCTTAGGTCATCTACCACTGGGTACCCACTATCTACCACCGGGCGTCCATTCTATCTACCACTGGTGACCCATTCTATCTACCACTGGGTACCCATTCTATCTATCACTGGTGACCCATTCTATCTACCACTGGTGACCCATTCTATCTACCACTGGTGACCCATTCTATCTATCACTGGTGACCCATTCTATCTACCACTGGTGACCCATTCTATCTACCACTGGTGACCCATTCTATCTACCACTGGTGACTCATTCTATCTACCACTGGTGACCCATTCTATCTATCACTGGTGACCCATTCTATCTACCACTGGGTACCCACTATCTACCACTGGTGACCCATTCTGTCTACCACTGGTGACCCATTCTATCTACCACTGGTGACCCATTCTATCTATCACTGGTGACCCATTCTATCTACCACTGGTGACCCATTCTATCTACCACTGGGTACTCATTCTATCTACCACTGGTGACCCATTCTATCTACCACTGGTGACCCATTCTATCTATCACTGGTGACCCATTCTATCTACCACTGGTGACCCATTCTATCTACCACTGGGTACCCACTATCTACCACTGGTGACCCATTCTATCTACCACTGGTGACCCATTCTATCTATCACTGGTGACCCATTCTATCTACCACTGGTGACCCATTCTATCTACCACTGGTGACCCATTCTATCTACCACTGGTGACCCATTCTATCTACCACTGGGTACCGACTATCTACCACTGGTGACCCATTCTATCTACCACTGGTGAGCCATTCTATCTACCACTGGTGACCCATTCTATCTACCACTGGTGACCCATTCTTTCTACCACTGGGTACCGACTATCTACCACTGGTGACCCATTCTATCTACCACTGGTGACCCATTCTATCTACCACTGGTGACCCATTCTATCTACCACTGGTGACCCATTCTATCTACCACTGGTGACCCATTCTATCTACCACTGGTGACCCATTCTATCTACCACTGGGTACCGACTATCTACCACTGGTGACCCATTCTATCTACCACTGGGTACCGACTATCTACCACTGGTGACCCATTCTATCTACCACTGGTGACCCATTCTATCTACCACTGGTGACCCATTCTATCTACCACTGGATACCCATTCTATCTACCACTGGTGATCCATTCTATCTACCACTGGGGACCCATTCTATCTACCACTGGGTACCCACTATCTACCACTGGTGACCCATTCTATCTATCACTGGATACCCATTCTATCTATCACTGGTGACCCATTCTATCTACCACTGGTGACCCATTCTATCTACCACTGGTGACCCATTCTATCTACCACTGGATACCCATTCTATCTACCACTGGTGACCCATTCTATCTACCACTGGATACCCATTCTATCTACCACTGGGTACCCATTCCAACGCCTATCTTGGTAGCCTCCCTCCTCTATTTTGCAAACATACCCCACCCATCACAACCTTCTTCTCTTGATTATATATTTTGCCATGCTCCTGCATGGAATGACTCGCAACCTCCACTTGCATCAGTATTAAAAGTCTAAACTATTAGTTGTAGTTGCTTTGCTAAAGTTCAGCTTTTTGACCCGCACAGGTACACAGATATGTCCACCTCAAGGAATGACCTCACCAAAACTCGTACTGCGACATTAAACATGCCTTGACCTCTTTCTTGTAATCCAATGTGTTATGCATTTTACTATCAATGCACGTCTTACCAGTTATTTCATACGTAGCTATGCAGCGTCTGTGTCAAATTGATGTGCTTATTGAATAGTCATAAGGGAATTCAATGCAAGTGAAACAAACATCTTACACGTTGTTTCAATCAAATATATATCCCTCTCGTTTGTTCTTACAAATTGTATTCTGTCACCTCCTTGGCCTCCCCCCCACTCACTCCCTTCCCTGACACTCCAGTTCATCCCCCGTGTAAACCTCTAAATGCTCCCCTTTCACCTAATCTCTCTCTCTCTCTCAATACTCTCAACCACTTTCACTTCTCTCGCTGTTTTAACCTTTTCACCTCGTGTCCTCATTTTCGTTAATTCTATTGTTCCGTTGACATTTTCCAGACACTCCTCAGCAAAAAAACGAAATCTAAAATTCTCCTACAATTGAATTAGTATATTTTCAAGGTAAAATATTTTTTTAGACATGAGTGTAATTTGTTTATACGGTCATTGTTACAGATATGATTAATGCTGAAATTAAGTATTACATAGGCCTCAAAACACATTAGGCAAACACATGACTGAGACAAAAAATTAAGCTATTGATGACATCATCCCATGTTCCCAATTTTCATATTTATGTGAAAAATCGGAAAATTGGGTCTGAAAAATAATCGTTCTAGATTGATGTAAAACTATATTTATTAAGCCATATCTTCGTTTTTCCCACCAAAAG